CGGCCCGCGCTGTCCCCGCCTTGGGGCTGGCCCGGCGGGGCGCGCGGCGGCGCGCGGAGCCCGCAGGTGAGGGCGAGGAGGGAGGCGGTTCCTCCCTTTCCTCCCCGCAAAGCAGCGGGTTCTCCCTCCGCGTCGCCCTCCAGCTCGTGGCTTCTCGTGGTGCCACCCGCGCGTGGCGCTGCGGCTCCCGCAGGCAGCGGCGAGGGGCTGGCTCGGCGGCCAAGGCGAGACAGCAGGAGTAAGAGTAATAGTAGTAATAGTAAGAGTAACATCTGTGCTCGGTGTGCTGTTTTCCCTGCTGGAAAGAGCAGCTGCTGCAAGCAGCTTCACTTAAGTCTGGTTTTGCCTCTCCTGGCGGGAGCCCTTCCACTCGTGGGGGTTTTGACCGTTTTGGAGGGTTTGTGCTGTGTTTGTGTGCATAAGAGGATTGATCCATGTTTTCTCTGGGCTCCTGACATGCCCAGGGACTCAAGGGTGTCCTCAAGGAAGTGAATGACCAAGGGGTTGTGCTGTCTACCTGCCCCATCCCATGGGTGCTGGGAGATACAGGTGAAACAAAACTGAGTCAACCTTGGTCTCGGGCACATCTCAGCTGAGTGGGTTTTAGGAGAGCTTGGTCCATCTCTCCCTTTCTCCCTCAAACCGTGGGAAAACGGATCACGAAATATGCCTTGATTTCTTTTTTATTTAAGGTTGATGTCAGACCATTCTCTTTCTTGAGACACCAAAGCTGAATGTCCATGGAAATGTGTCAGGGGCGTCCCTGGAGGCTAAAACAAGGTGGACAAGCAATTCTGGGCCAACGGGAGCAAGTATCCCTGGAATGGGGTGTTGTGCCCTGCGCTCCTGACGAGCTGGTAATCCTTCCCGGGGGGTCAGCAGGGGATTAAGGGCGATAATCTCATTCCCCAGATTTTAAGTTGCCTCACGGGCCCATTAAGAGCAAAAAAAAATCCCGTTCTCCCGCTCGCAGCGGCGCAGCTGCCGCCCCGCGCTGCTCGCGGGCTGTCGTGCGGAGGTGCCGGTGCGCCGGATGGGGTAGGAATAGCAGTGACGGGTGCCTGATGCCATGCACATAGCAAAAATAGATGCGGCTGGACTGCGATGATGCAAAGCGAGAAGAATCCTTTCTCCTCCGATTTCTTCGCCTTTGCTTTCCCTGCAGCTCCTGCTGGGAACGCCGTCGAGCTGTGGCAAAGGGGGTGCGACCATCCCCAGCCACAGGCTGTGCTTTTTGGGGGTCCTTCTGGCGCCCAACAAGCCTGGTGCCTCCTTCCCTCTTGTATTCTCCTCCTTCTGCACTGAAGCCCATGTTTAAGATACTAACATATAAATTTAACATTTGTATTTAATATCTATCATTTTCGAAAGGTGTTGTGCCATCAGGTCACAATTCCAGTGCATTTATTAAACCAGAAAGAAAAAAACACTAGGTATTGTCTCCAGACCTAGGTGATCTCCCCATCTCTCCCACCGATTTCTGCTTTTGAGGAAGAACTTGAGATTTTTCATCAGATTTCCTTCTGTCCTTACCAACCCACTACTTCCTCTCACAACATTTTGGTGGACCTTGATCCACCAAATTCCAGTCCAGATCAATGAGATGCTGTCAAATAATAAATAATAAATACGTATACTGCATGTTTTGGGATTGAAGCAGGATTGAAGAGCACTGGTGGTTGGTGAGGCAGCACCTCTGTTCAGAAGGCTGGAGGGAAATGAGCCCCGAGTCAGTGCAGGACACAGCGGGACACAGGTCTTCTTCAGGGATGCAGTTAGGGTTGCACTGCAGACAGGCTGCACAATGCGATCGTTCCTCTCCACATGGTGTTAAGGATGTGAAGACGTAGACATGTGACAACAAGTCCAGGAGGGAGCAGAAAGAGTGATAAGAAGAGGGGAAAAAAAAAAGAAGAAGAAAAACAAAGAAAAACGTGCAAGCAAGGGAAGGTCGAAGGAGGAGTTGTTTAGTCTAGAAAGGAGATGGTTGAGGAGCACAAGATAATGGGCGTGTTGTCCACATGTGTGAAGGGCTGCTCCAAAAAGGTGATTAGGCTGGATATTTGGGGAAAAGGAAAAATAACTCTTTGGGCTGCTGGTCTGTGTGCATGGCTGGAGGGAAATACTCATCCACAGAAACACCCCTGAGCCTCCGTGCCCTGTTCCTGGTGCTGTAGGAGGTGAAGGAAGGCTCATCAATGCCACAGGGAAATTAATAAAACAAATGCCTAGGAGATAAAGAAAAGTTGAAGGACACTTGTCTGCTCTTGCTTTCCAGCCCTTCTTACTATCAATTAAATTGAGGAGCCACGTGGAAGGAGCTGGTGTTACAGCATCTGGCTGGGGACTCAAGGTGTGAGGAAGGCAAAGCAGCAAGTCCCTGACTGGCGTGTAGACACAGAAGGTTTGGAATTGGAGAGTGGAAGTGCCTCTGTGCCAGATTACGTGGCATGAGTAATTAGCTGTAATTAACAAAATGAATGAGGTTTGTAATCTTCTGCTGATTAGTAGTCATCTCATGGAGGTGGCAACTTTGAAAACATCATCTCGGAGTGGCTAGGGGAGAGTAGCTGCAGGTCCCCCCCCCAGTTTCAAGACAGCTTTCAAGAAAGATGGGGACCAAGTGGAATGTCAAAGGGGGAGAACTGAAATGATGGGAGGCTGTTTCAATTCCAGAAAGGAGATGGAGTGCTGCTGCATAAAGGAAGGGATTGATCTGCTTATTATTATTATTGATCCACAGATTGATCCTCATCTGATGAGGTGAGAAGTGATGGGCTCAACGTGGACTTTTGTTCAGGGCTCCCACACTGGATCTTTGAACTGGAGCATCCCTGCGCAGAGTGTGCTGTGAATAGGTGAGAGAAACCTCAGTTTGATAAACTAACCTGCTTTTCATGAGCCACCCATCACATTCCCATCGGTGGAGGGTCTCCAGAAACTGCAGTGTGCTTGGCAGGGCTGGCAGCCATCCCAGCTCTGGGGACAATCTGAGGATTTCCTCTGTGAACCATCGCAGAGAGGTCCACAGGGAGAATCCTTCACACCTGCAGAGGGTGTAAAAACATCCATGGAAACACGAATGGAAAAGCTGGAAGCTCACTGTCTCTTCTCAAAATATCATAGGTGGTTATTCTCTTGTCTCCCAGTTTATGTGGCTCCTGGTGTCCTGGCAGCCCTGCTGCAGGTGGTCAGCCCCAGGTTGTAGCCAATGAACCTCAGCAGCATCCAGTGCTTGCGATACTTGCAGTGGCTTTTCTGCTGATAGGCAAGAACAGCGCATAACTGGTTGATTATCACCCAGCAAGATGACATGTGTTTAGCCTCAGTGTTTGTGTTTAACTCCAAATCAGGTTGGATTAATCCAGGATGCTGCAGGCTTCAAATGGTGCCCATCCAACATCAAAGTTGAAGCACCTAAATATCACTGCTGTGCATGGACACCAAAGGGAGCTATAAAACCTCCAGGTGAATGAAGCTGGGTGCTAGTGGCCAAGAGGATGGTACCCATCAACCCTTTACATAGCTTGCTTACAAGGAACATGCCTTGTAGCTCTGAACTGACCAAGTGAATCACCCCCTGACCTGAATCGCTAAGGACATCCCTTCTCCACACAGAGATGTGGAGGCTGAAGGAGGAAAGTGGATTGAGGAGGAGATCTGGGAACAACCTTGCAGAGTGCTTTGGACTGGATGTCTGAGGGTCTGAGCCACCTCTGCTCCTGGCTCATTCCTATCCCCAGGCAGCAACCTGTCATGTTTGGGCAGCG